GTAGGAGAAGGAGGAGCAGGAGAGGGTGTTAATATGATTTCAATGGTGAGCCATGTTTTTCAGGCATTCCTGTGCCGGGGAAGTTTATTACCCCCTTGATCCATAAGCTACGCATAGGCTATGAAGAAAAATATAGGCTCGCTATTCAAATTAGACTAAAACCTTTAGTGTCGGGATTTTTTCTGCCCTTCTACCACCCTTTGTAGAAGTGATGCTTCGCTAGAAGGGATTGAGGGTGAATAGTTCAGGGTCTAGGCTTTGTTGCAGATGAGTTCTTTGCGCATAAGGTTTAGGGGGTTTAAGTTTAGGGTTTAGGGATCAGATTTTACAGAGCTTTCCTTTGTCGAGGGTCAGGGCTTAAGAGGGCTTAGCCCCTAAGTTTTCGCATGTAGGCGTGTAAAATATGGGGGTGTTGTGGGAGTACTATGGAAAGGCTCACCTCTCAGAGCTACCTGTAGGTGGCTTCAACATCTAGAAGTCCAAAGTAACTGAGCGCGGAGACGGATCAAAGGATTATGATTGGGACCCTAACCTCTAAACCTGGTCATTGGCTCTGGGCTGCTAGGGATTTCAGCGTCTTTGAGCCAGGTCAGTCTTAGTTGCTGCAGAGCGGCATGGAGGAGTTCAGGTGTCAGATGCGATCCCCTTTTTTAGGCCGTCATGTGTAGCGTTCTGTCAACAGCAGTCATGCCAAGCCTAGGTGGTGTGGAAGACATTCCGGGAGTCAGTCTACCGCACGCAGAACGACGTGCTACTTGAGCTCTACTCACCGTACCGGCCGCAGCATCGAACTCATCTAATGGTGCCTTGCCTGCTGTCGTACTGTTCTCCTTCATGCTTCAAGGGACTGTCTTTAAATGGTGCTTACGTTGGCGGGCTATTGTGCTTACATTGGCTGGTCTCCAAGCCTGTGCACTCCACTTGTACGCCCCAGCGCAGCGCAAACATGAAAACCTGCCCAAACCAGCAGTCAAAGAGGAACGCATGTACTGAACCTTCACGCTGTTTGTGTTCAAGTCAACGAACACCTGGGGATCTTCATTCCCCAGCCAACCCCAAGCTATGCTGCTTTGGCGGGGGGCCGGCCTTAAAAAACATGGTATCTTAGGAACCTTTGTTGAGATCTAGGGATTGCAAAGAAGGAGTTCTCATATATAGACTTGTGATCTGGCTGGGTCGATAAGCCCTTTGAGATACTCCAAGGTTTTGGAGCTCGTGGCTGAAGCCTTGGGAAACCTTACCACGCTGAAGGCTCAGCACCCTCTTGCAGTGGAGAGTCTTTAGATCAACTTGGGAGGATTGAGTTGACACTTCCGTGACCAGAGATCAAGTTCGAGGGGTTTGGGCTTAGGCCTTTTCAGGGTCTGTTGTCGGTGTACAGCGAGACCTTATTCAACAAGGTTCCTCACCAGGCGGGATGTTTAAGTACGGTGGGGGGATGCATAGAGATTTCCCACAGCCCTGAGCTGAAATGCGTAAAGCCCCAGAACTGCTGCTGCCAGAACGTTATGATGTCAATTCAAGCTAGGCCGCATGCCCTTGAATTCTGGCCTCTAAGTGTTGGGATTTGACAGCACTCGCCCTCAGGGTTGAGTCTTTTATAGATCTGACCCATTTCCGGAACAGCAAGTCTAAACCCAAAGCCCTAAGCCCCGGGCAAGCTCTTGGATGGCGAAGCGCGCTCTAAGATATGTCCAGAAACCTTTCACAGGTGGCTCGCATGGATACCGCCAACAACTACGTGCTGCCAGAATTTGGTTTGAAGGCGCCTTTCTGGGACTTTCTCCGCATGATCCCGGCAGCGTCCCGAAGATGGTCCCCTATAGTCTCCGTCTTGACCCCAGATACCCTTCTGTTTGAATAACAGCATATGTGGCTGGTCGATGGCGGATTTTATTTAGGATTGCGTGTACTTGCCCAACACCAGCATCACGGACAAACGTGATGGAGAGTGCCACTCATGTTCACATCTGTGCTATCATACTTGACTATTCACGATTGGCGTTTGGTGGGCTCAAAGGTTAAGAGGTACCGCAAATGAGACGTCCCACTATTTACACGGTTTTGACAAATCGTGAACCCGAAGTCCCAGCGTTGCCTTGGAAACTAGTGCAGAAGGAACCACTTGCAAATTCAGCCCTTGACCTGTGGGGAGAAAGTAGCCGTAGGTTGGACAGCCATCTGAAATTTCATCCGCCTGGCAGTTCTGCAGCCCTAAATCCTAAACCCCCTGANNGCCCTAAACCCTAAAGGACAAGGAGAAGTCCTCAACCTTTTTCTTCCTGGCTGCTGCTCCAGAGAAGCACCGGCGCCCCAGGCATCTTGGTTGGGATGCACCTTCTCACTGGTCCTTTCAAGAGGTTATCGGGGGGTTGTGGGGATATATGGAGATACACAGGGAGATTAAGGGTTGACGGAGTCCCCATGAATCATGAAGCAAATAGAAAAGAAAATCGGACATGTAACTTAAATGTCAACTGGATCTGATTGATGAAGTTGGGCAACATGGGGACTTCACGAATTTCGCGGGCGCCCCTTCTTGGAAACAGCTATGATAAGGATTACAACATGTTGGGGTCTACATCAAGCATCTCTACTTGCGCCCGGCCTCCACCCAAATATGATTGATGTAGGGTTTAGGGTTCAGGGTTGCCCACCAATAAACTTGGGCTACCTGCATGGGGAAAGGGGAACGGATGATTTGAAAGCCCTAATACCGTAAGCCTGAGGTCCAAATGGCTTGCCATAGGTCTGTCCAGATTGCCCAGCAGTAGGGGTTCCTTTTTGAAGGAGCCCACAATAAGGATTATAGTTTGTTGGGNNTTGGGATCTATATTGGGGTTCCCTCTTCGTGGGGGAAATGCCATACATCTGTTGTGGGTCCTTGCTTCGACGTTTCTCCCCTCACACTAAGGTCACCCCCTCCACCCGTACTCTAAATATGACTTTACAAAGATAATGTCAGTCATTATCAGGGTTATTCCCCCAGGAGTAAGACATGGAAGGTTGGCTTTTCCCCTTCTTTTCAGCCTGCTAGATTCTACGTGGAGATACAGCGGCAGCTCCAGACTAGTCTTCAAGGGTTTCAGAATCTCAAACATCCAGCAAGCGTGTTTGCAGCAAGGAGGGCACCGACATCATCACGGTCCCATGTCCATGCTACAATGACTTGTCACACCCTTCTTTACGTGCCCGCACGTGTCCATGTGGGCCTTTTCAAATTCGACGCTGGGAAAGGGGCCTGGCGATGTACTTCAAGGTCTGTTTTCCAAAGGACTTGGACGTTGCCGCCTCTGCGGACCCCAATCTACATGCGAAAATGATTGTCAGTAAACTAAAAGCAGCTTGTTCTTGATTAATAAGTGCATTCTGGCAAACTGCAGGTGCCCACAGAGCCCAATACACTTAAACTACGGAACGTACCTGAAGTATGTTAGATTTCCCAACAATTTGTTCAATTCCCTAGGCCTTCGTTCCTTGCATTCTTCCATCTTGTCTCGGTACTAGCTCTCAAGTCTACTTCGTCGTACTCTACTGGTAACGACTCACTGCATTCGGCTTCGGAAGAATCACTGCCGTCGCGCCACGTCCTCCAATGTATGCACCCGATGAGCTACAGTCTAAACTCC